CATGTACTTTCGAGGGGATATTTCTGGCCAGAAATTATATTTTCGGTTAGGAATTTTTTTCTCGAAACTGAGTAGGATTTCGAGACTATGCATAATCACCAAAAATGATTGTAACTGCCCCCTGCAACCAAAAATAATTTTTTCAAAACGATTTGAAATTTTTCAATTTCGCCCAAAAATTTCACCACATATTCGAATTTTTTTCTCGAAACTGAGTAGGATTTCGATATTATATATAATCACCAAAAATGATTGTAACTGACCCCAGCAACCAAAAATAATTTTTTCAAAACGATTTGATATTTTTCAATTTCGCCCAAAAATTTGACCACATATTTGAATTTTTTTCTCGAAACTGAGTAGGATTTCGATATTATACATAATCACCAAAAATTATTGAAATTGACCCCTGCAACCAAAAATAATTTTTTCAAAACGATTTGATATTTTTCAATTTCGCCCAAAAATTTCACCACATGTTCGAATTTTTTTCTCGAAACTGAGTAGGATTTCGAGACTATGCATAATCACCAAAAATGATTGAAATTGACCCCTGCAACCAAAAATAATTTTTTCAAAACGATTTGAAATATTCAGATTTCCCTCACTTTTCCTTTACTTTATTATCAACAATTAGCGTTGAATTTAAAATTGTATCGTTACAGTAGGAAAATATGTACAGTTACCTGTATTCGCGCACTATAATAGTGCTCCACAATAATTGGAAAAAGCACCTTGTTGCTCGCAAACTGATTATGGATAAATAAAAGAACTTTGTACCGTAATAATCGCAGTCCTTTATACGCGAGTGTGCCCAAATAATTCGCCCCCCAATCACGGGGGCCACTTCGAGCGTCATTCGTTCAATTATGCTTCGAATTTATGATTCGATCAGCGGGAACGTAAACGCGAATAAATCAAATTGGCCGAATTGAATTTTCCAAGGACGGTGGAATTTTGATTCGTCCGGCGAACCGATCGATTACGCCAGACGCGCGAAAAAGCTGATCAAAATCGTCTCGAAACGATTCAAAAAAATCTATTCTCAAACGAGACGTATTTAATTCACAGAGAACTAAATAACGCGTATGATTTTAAAATTGTACACGTGGCGAGGTAAATTGTTCGACGAGGGCGAAAATAAAAAAAAAAAAAATAAATATAACCGGTTCGTTTTAATTAAAACCAATGAAGTGGGAAAATAATGGGCTCGATATGTTTGCTCTTATCGCCGCGTTTCGACCACTTGGCCGCGATTCTCTTCAGGCAATAACCTTTTTGAAATTGAACAGCGCATGTGTTAGCGAAGAAACGCAGTTATACGCGGTGCTAATATGCGAAAAAATTGAGTCTCTTTCGAGGAAACAACCCTTAATTAACGCGAGAGAAACCGTAACGTTATCGATACGGGACCAACTATGGGGGAAAAAATAAATAAATACGTAACAATTCTGACATTATTCTAACCCGCGAAATCGGAAATATATCGGTGCGATTGCGTGCGCGTTTGTCACCGATCAAAGTGATTAAACAGATAATTATCTATCGAAATGCCGAGGATTAAACGTATCTATAATTATATCAACTAGGTCAGAATTAACGGAAGTAGGTCGAACGCTGCAGTTTTGTTAAGAGGAGGCGGTTAATTAGGAAATAATTGGAATATTTTTCCTAACAGAAAGTTTCGAGAACGGGAACGGGGGCCCCCTCGAGAACTATTTTATTAAACACCAGCGACTCGAGTGTTTCGACGTTTCCCGAAACAGCCTAAAGTAAATAAATAAGAAATCTTCCCGGAGACCGTTCGTAACGTTCTCCCCGTTTTATTTTCTCCTCGAGGCCCCGTCGATTGATCGGTCGTAAGAACTCGGGGATGCCAACCAACCCCCTCCGGAGAAATCGAGCCTTCTATTTATCGTCGGCGATAAAGCGTTCGTGTCTCGTTTCGCGAAAAAGAACAGCGTGACGACGATAAAAAAAATACACCGGTCGGAATTACATGCGATGGTTTACGTTTCCGCGTGGGGCCGCAGAGATGCGTTCCTTCGCGTAAAATTGGGGACAGCCGGCGCTAATCTGACCGTACGCGAACCGCCGTGCCACTTTTTCGCGACCCGATTGTCTATGGACGCGGAAGATGACCCGGAAAATAGAGAGAAACGTCGACGAGGAGCAGGGAGATAACGGCAGATTGCTAGCAGCACGGTTACACAACGTTAAAGAGCGAATCTCGGTTACGGGCTGTCGATGCAATCGGCGGGGATCGCCCGGGGGAAAAAAAGTAAATCGAAACTGCGAAGGAAATTGAGATAAAACCGAGACAACCGACGGTTCAGCATCTTTTTAAACATTAACCGCTTTCGAGGGCCCGTAAACATCACTTTCGGGCGCCATTTTCACGTTTGGAACATGGAAAGTGTGCCCGCAAAAGGGAATTTGTAAAAATAACGAGCTTGCGTTTGCAGGGAACAATACTCTCCAGCTTTCTCTGGGAATTTTAAGAGGCTGCTCTGGGAAAGACTCTTGAGAATATTCTGAGGCTTTAGTTTGAAATTTGGAACAACTATCGATTGCCTAAAGATGCAAAGATTCGAGCATATTTGTAAAAATAACGAGCTTGCATTAAATGAGTATTTTTGGATTTTTTTTCACCGAGGAACACTCTTGAGAATGTTCTGAGGCTTTAGTTTGAAATTTGGAACAACTATCGATTGCCTAAAGATGCAAAGATTCGAGCATATTTGTAAAAATAACGAGCTTGCATTAAATGAGTATTTTTCGACTTTTTTTCACCGAGGAACACTCTTGAGAATGTTCTGAGGCTTTAGTTTGAAATTTGGAACAACGATCGATTGCCTAAAGATGCAAAGATTATACTATAAACTTTGATCTCTGCACGGGTGTCCTCGAAAAATGTAATTAGAAACCTGGACGAGAAATCTAATTTAAAAAGCCATTTCACCGGCCAACAGTGCCAAAGAATGACACTCGATTTTCCGAAAAAAGATCCCCTTTGTACGTCTACGAGGCAAATTGTTTCGTCCGGGGCCATTTAAGAAATAATTGATTGTTGGAAATACGCGAGACGGGCGCGCGTTTTATTAAAATTCAATTTAATGGGCCCCCTCTACGTGCACGAATCGTCGACGACGAGAAACCAAGCGCAGTTCGAACGAAATTCGCGTACCCAAGCATTTCGAAAAGGGAAGAGGAACAAAGTGTCGAGGAGCAGGAAAATTTTAAATATATTTCCTAATTATTCTCGCGTCCCGGAGCACCCTGTAACGGCCCGCCGCGAGATTAAATCGTTCCGTCCATGGACACCCCCGCCCACCACCCTCAGGAAAAAAGAAAGAACGAGATATGAAACGAAATGAACGTCGTTTCTCGTTTTTGTCGCGATTCCCTCGCTGGAGGAGCGTTCCACCGATTCGAAATCGACTGTGGCGGTGTTCTAATTAACCGAGTCGCGATTTCTGCTTCGAATTCGCGCAGATCGACCTTCGTGGGACAGGAAGGCCTCGAGAATCCTGTTGTATTTAAACAAATTACCAAATAGACCCACAAATTGCAGACCTAGGCTAAACCTGACTCCTTTAGAGGGACTATTTTTGTATAGCTCCCAGAATTTTCATTATTTTTGAGTGAAAAAAATACTGTATACTCTTGAAACATTGGTGAATATATGTCCTAAATCTCAATCCAAAGCAATCTATAGTTATCTTTAAAAAAATTACCAAAGAGGCCCATTGTAGGCTTAGACTAAACCCCCTTAGAGAGACTAGATTTGATGATTTATAGCTCCCAGAATTTTCATTATTTTTAGGTGAAAAAAATACTGTATACTCTTGAAACATTGGTGAATATATGTCCTAAATCTCAATCCAAAGCAATCTATAGTTATCTTTAAAAAAATTACCAAAGAGGCCCATTGTAGGCTTAGACTAAACCCCCTTAGAGAGACTAGATTTGATGATTTATAGCTCCCAGAATTTTCATTATTTTTAGGTGAAAAAAATACTGTATACTCTTGAAACATTGGTGAATATATGTCCTAAATCTCAATCCAAAGCAATCTATAGTTATCTTTAAAAAAATTACCAAAGAGGCCCATTGTAGGCTTAGACTAAACCCCCTTAGAGAGAGTATATTTGATGATTTATAGCTCCCAGAATTTTCATTATTTTTAGGTGAAAAAAATACTGTATACTCTTGAAATATTCATGAATATATGTCCTAAATCTCAATCCAAAGCAATCTATAGTTATCTTTAAAAAAATTACCAAAGAGGCCCATTGTAGGCTTAGACTAAACCCCCTTAGAGAGACTATATTTGATGATTTATAGCTCCCAGAATTTTCACTATTTCTAGGTGAAAAAAATACTGTATACTCTTGAAATATTCATGAATATATGTCCTAAATCTCAATCCAAAGCAATCTATAATTATCCTTTAAAAAATTGCCAAAGAGGCCCATTATAGGCTTAGACCAAACTCCCTTAGAGAGAGTATATTTGATGATTTATAGCTCCCAGAATTTTCATTATTTTTAGGTGAAAAAAATACTGTATACTCTTGAAATATTGATGAATATATGTCCTAAATCTCAATCCAAAGCAATCTATAGTTATCTTTAAAAAAAATTACCAAAGACAGCCATTGTAGGCCTATAGCAAACAACCCCCTCAGTGACCAAACAATAAATTGTATAAATTTAGAAAATTGACCCCGGTAGAAGGGTTAAGTAGAGAGGCTAACCACGTTGTGGATGTCGTTGGATAAAAAAGCAATGGTGCTCGATGAACGTGGGGAGGTTCGATCGTTTGGAGTCGAGAGAAAACACCGCCCCCGCGAGCGGCCGTGCGAGTAGGCGAAGTCAGGCGAGTTAAATAGCCGCGAAACGTCGCGTATAGATCGGATGTTGCGTAAGGATGTAAAATGTGTGGGAGGTGATGGGTGGTGGGGGGGGATTGATTGAAGGTGGTTGTAACGTACATACCGAGGGCATCAGCTGATCGGTGGACCTGACCCGGGTCACCTTGTTTCTGTAGATGATCCTCTTGGCGAACTTCTCCATCGGTTGGTTCCACTTCATGAAGCTGACGTACGCCAAATAGAATCCGAATAGCACGAGCGCCTCGTACCAGTGAATAAAATTATCGCGGAAGAAGTAGATCAGCGTGATCAGGCTGAGGCTGTAAAAGGAGCAGTCGCGGAAGAGCGGCCACCATGTGAGCGATAGGACCGTACGCGAGAATATAGCGCACATGCCGATCACGAAGAGGATATTGAAGACGGCCGAGCCGACGATGGTGCCGATACCAACGTCGTCGAACGACACGAACACGCCGATTATCGATGTGAACAGTTCGGGCGCGGAGCCGCCGGCAGCCATGAAGGTAGCACCCGCGACGTCGTCGGCGATCTCGAGTTTCTCGATGATCACGTCCAACGACGGGACGAAGAACTCGTCGCAAACGATCGCCAGTGCGACGAACATGTACACGACACCGATTACGTGAAGTATCACAGCACCGCGACGCCGTTCCTGTATGGTGAACAGATCTTCCGGGAACAGCGGTGCCTTCTCCTCGGTCATGTTGCCGCCGACCTTCTTGTGATGGTGATGATGAATGGTGGCGTTGTAGCCGTCGTCCCCGTCCGTCTCGTATTCATTGTTGTTGTTGTTGTTCGCGAGGGTGCCGTTCGCGGTGTAAACGGACCAGGGCGTAGGTGTGGTGCTGGTCTGCGGCACGTTCGGATTGTTCGGTGCTGGCCTGTGCCCCATGGAGGGCGCGGGACCGATCGCTAGGGCCAGTAGGGCCAACGTCACGGCCGCGACCGCCAATCGGCGCCTCCTCCTCCAGCATGTACGCCGTTCGCCGCCTGTCACGATCATCGTCGTCGTCGGTGTTGCTGGTGTATCGCACCCTCGAGGACGTTCGCCGTCGTTAGCGAGTCCTCCGTCCTCCTCCTCCTTCTCCTTCGTCTTCTTCTTCTCCGTCCACCTCCTCCCCCTCCTCCACCTCTCCCTCTTCTTCTCTGGCCTCCACCGCCACCACCTCCGCCTCCTCCACCACCTCCTTCTGCGTGTCGTATCGTGTCGCGGCGCGGAGGTACCCTACTAAGGCTGGGTCATGTTGGAGCACCGAGGAGCTGCTCTCGCATGCTCCTCCGCCTTCGATCACACTCCCTCTTTCTCGCAAACGTCTCTCCTCTCTACGTACTACGAATATCCACCGAAAACACTGGTATATATCGTCCGCGTACTACGATCGTCTACTGTACTACCGTAACTAACGTCCGGCCCCGAAGAGTATCACCCTTCTTCTCCTGCTTCCCGGCGGCGTCGTCGTCGTCGTCGTCGTCGCCGTCGTGGTCGCTAGGATGCGGTGGATGGTGCATATAACCCTGGATGGATATACAGGAGCAGCAGAACGGCGCCCCCGCCGCGATGCCCGCCCGCTGCACACTGGAACAACCCTGTTCCGTTCTGTTCCTCTCTCCGCCCTTCCTACCTTCCCGACCCCCACCCTAGCCCCAACACCCTCTCCCCTCGCTCCTCGCTCCTATCGCTCTCCATCCCCGTCTTCCTTTCGCCTTGGTCCCTCGTCGATGCTTCTTCTATCTCCTTCACCGACATTCCCCCTCCGACCCTCCGCGCGCCACCTCCGTTTTTCGCCGTGTCGTCGTCTTTATTCCCCTCCGAGCCGGAACCCTACACACCCTCTCCCCGTCTCTCTTCCACCTACGTGGCTTATTCCTCTTCTTCGACAACACCCCACCTCAACACACTCTCTTCTCTCTCTCCCTGACCCCTTTCCTCCCCCATGCAACCCTCGCGGTGTCTACTGTTTCCCTCGCGCGACCCTTTCCAGCCTACTTTCCTCCTCGTTCCGCTCGACGATCCAACCCCCGTCCCGCTACAGCTGGCCGTGGGTGACCGGTGGTGGGGGGCGGTAGGTCGCGAGGGTGGGAGCCTGCGCACGTGTAAACCCCGAGGAGCGACGTACGTGTACGCTTCCTGGACTGCGTCGTGTGTGTAAGTGCGTGTGTACGTGTGGCGCGCGCGCAACCCTCGCTCTGGGCCTCCCGCTCGATATCGGAGAGTCGACTCCACCGACTCTACGCTACGAATCCCCCTCCGTATACCGGGTGTCGCCTCGATCACGGTCGGAGGGGTCGTACGGCGTTTCGCGATGCGTTTTTGCCCCGGTGGGAAAAATGGCGGGAGGGTTGGATGCACCAAACGTGCACGTTTCGATCAGATGGCTGTGAGAACACGGTGGCCATGAAAGCTGCTTGATGTTTACCGGAGGGGAGACTTTCAGAGGGTTGTAGGTGAAAAAATTGAAACTCCACTTCGAACCGATGTTAAACAAATCTCGATTTCGGGGGCCACCAAACATGCAAGTTTCGATCAGTTGAGAAGAAACATTATGTTAGAGAGTAGACTTTGAAGGGGTGGTGGGCCAAAGAATTAAACAATGTTTTAGAAGAATTTCGAAATGTTTACTTGCCTTGCAGAGAATGTATTATTTGGAGAATTTTGACCGCTCGAGAAATCGTTGGGAATGGATCGTTTCTTACGGAAGGCTCTTAAGGATATGGGATTACGTTTTCGGGGAAAAACGTCCGACATCTTCGGGAAATCACTCTGTCCGTGAGCGATATTAGATGCCGCCGTAAATCAAACCTGCCTCTTGGAAATTCGAAAGCACGCAACGGGTGATCGTGTTGGAGAACGTGACCGATCGCGAGTAGAAAATGATACCGGTTGAAGTTGCTTCGAAATATCCACTGTTCTCTCCGCGAGACTAGAGATCGACCTTTGCCCGGACGATTTTCTTCGGGGGTTGGATAACGTCGAAACTTTAAGCAATCGGTCCACGGTGCTTCTTTTTCGCGGTGCAACTGCGGGGATCGGGTCAAGTGCCACTTTGCGAGGGGTGTCTGTCAATTTATTTACACGGAAGACGTTTGCGACACTCGCGCGAGAGCATCCTTGGCGCTCGATCTCTCGAATTAAACAAGGTTCCGCGTTCGTGAATGCTGATTACGATTTTACACGATGGGATCTATTTATCAACACTCATCGAACGTTTAGTAGTTGTTTGGTCAGACTTATTTTGGAAAATTGAGCCTAAACTAGAGGAGAGTGCCTTCGATCATTTATGGATCCTAGAATTTTCATTATTTTGGGGTGAAAAAAATCATGTATACTCTATAAACCTTGGTGAATATATGTCCTAAGTTTCAATCCAAAGCAATCTCTAATTATCCTTAAAAAAATTACCAAAGAGACCCATAGATTGCAGGCCTAGACTAAACTACCACCTTAGAGGGACCGTCTTCGATCATTTATAGATCCTTGAATTTTCATTATTTTGGGGTGAAAAAAATCATGTATACTCTATAAACCTTGGTGAATATATGTCCTAAGTTTCAATCCAAAGCAATCTCTAATTATCCTTAAAAAAATTACCAAAGAGACCCATAGATTGCAGGCGCAGACTAAACCACCCTATTAGAGGGACCGTCTTCGATCATTTGTAGATCCTAGAATTTTCATTATTTTGGGGTGAATAAAATCATGTATACTCTATAAATCTTGGTGAATATATGTCCTAAATCTCAATCCAAAGCAATCTATAATTATCCTTAAAAAAATTACCAAAGAGACCCATAGATTGCAGGCGCAGACTAAACCACCCTATTAGAGGGACCGTCTTCGATCATTTGTAGATCCTAGAATTTTCATTATTTTGGGGTGAAAAAAATCATGTATACTCTATAAACCTTGGTGAATATATGTCCTAAGTTTCAATCCAAAGCAATCTATAATTATCCTTAAAAAAATTACCAAAGAGACCCATAGATTGCAGGCGCAGACTAAACCACCCTATTAGAGGGACCGTCTTCGATCATTTGTAGATCCTAGAATTTTCATTATTTTGGGGTGAAAAAAATCATGTATACTCTATAAACCTTGGTGAATATATGTCCTAAGTTTCAATCCAAAGCAATCTCTAACTATCCTTAAAAAAATTACCAAAAATTACCAAACAACACTGTAACGTCGAATTTACTACGTTTTGGTGGACGAAACGAGCTGGCGGCTCGGTCGCGATAAAGGCCTCGTTAGCGGACATTAGTGCGAATTTCGATCAGATACCGTTTGCTAAAATAATAACGTACTGTCAGCCGCGAAATTACAAGCCGACGTCCCGCGATTCGCTTTGAGCGACTTAACGTATCTAATTCAACGTTCCCCTAACGACGACAATAGCATGCACGCCGCGAACTTCGTAATCAGGGGTGCACACTCGAACCCAGTCGCAACTGCCGAGTATGCAGGCCACATTCTCGCGCGCAACCATACTTAATTACATCCCGACACGCTTTACAAAAAATCGAACCACTGGAAAATTCGAAATCGAACAAAGTCACAAGGGTGGACGGTTAAAATAAAAGTTAGACCGTCCTTGAAACGTTTCACTTTGGGTGTGTGGACACGGACAGTGAAAGATGAAGATAATGAAATTTGTTGGAGCAAATGGATCGTCGTGACGATCTTGTTTGGGAGCTGACACGATACCCAAATACGTATACAAAGAGACACACCCTCCTGGATGTAGCAAATAGGTTTCCTAATGCCAATCTCTAATAACAATAGCGAACCATCTCAGAATGCGGTGCATTATAGATCCCAAGGCCGAATCATACAAGTACATTCGTGTACCTATTCTCCCGTGTAACCTATTTCTTAGGTTACTCTGTTAACTATCCATCAAATTTAATTAGAATTCTCGTCGATTGATCGCGGATGGGCCGAGCTGAGAATGGAAACGGGACATCTATCGGAAAACCAACGTGTCCCCGTGTCTCTGATCCTCGGGGTTCGTTTTTTCCCCCCGAGAAACGGTGCGTGGGAGATCCCGAGTTTGTCCCGAGTCACGTGCAACCGGGCTCGTGCATCCCCCTTGAAGCTGGTTCGTTATGTTCCAGGGGTCGTTACAGTTATTAGCGACCGACGAGGAACCCCCGGGACCGCGGTGGGGCGGGCGGACTTTCGAGCTCTCGCCTCGTTTCACCTTTCCGCGGCTTCCCCGCTTTTCCTGCCAACCGACACGTGAGAGGAAAATTCTCCGCGAAAAGAAGCGACGGGCCGATTTTAAACGAGGCTCGCGCGAGAACCCTCTTGCTACCTGGCGCGTACAGAATTTTAGCGATAATTTACCGATATTGCCTCTTCGCCGTCGACGTTCATTCTCCCCGATTTATTATCATCGTCCCCGCTCCTCTGCGACCCCACGCGGATAGGAGTCGAGCACCTAGCCACCTCCTCGCCCCCCAAACGGAGCGAAACGCTCGCGAATTAAAGCTTGGGGGAAAACAGCGATTCCTAAATATCATCCCTTTGAATGTTTACTGGCGTCAGAATTAAAGGGGGAGGAGTCGCGTAAAACGGTGAAACCGGAAGTGATAATTGACAATTATTTTGTTTTCGACTGTTGGATGAAATAATAAATGCTATTGCTTATGTGCAGTCTAGAATTTAAAAACTCTGCTTAGAGAATTGCAAAATTTGTCGAAGATTGGGCTCCGAACACAGACAAATGATACTTGTCTCCCACCTTGGCGTGAAATTTCGTATAGTTTTTACGTTTCCAGGTATTTTTCCAGCGAAACGATCGTCTCTATCGACGACCAAAGCTTGTCAGGCTAGGATATATCGTCTATCGGGGCAGATATTTTCTAAACAGATGATATATTCGTTGGTGGGGCCAGGAAAGGGGACGATATGCTTCCTACTTCATTTCGGATTCAGTATCCATCAAATTGGATTGGCCGTGGTGGAATAATAGCTTGACCACCGTCGCCCCCGTGACCTATCTCCGCTCTACTTTTATTTGCGGACTCGCGCTAAATTAATTGTGCGGTACGAAGAAATTACAAGTGTAGAGGCCAAAATAAGACGAAAATCAAGAATACTAATTTGTTGATGGAAGCTTCGTTAAAAAGTTATTAACAATTAAATTGAAAAATTTCAAATCGTTCTGGAAAAATTATTTTCGGTTGCGGGGGTCAACTACAATCATTTTTGGTGA